TTGGTAGTATTACAAATAGCATGGACATTAGTACACTAAAGTCTGATCTCGAGACAGCCGGTTTAGTGGGAAGCAATAGTATTAAAGTACAAAGAAACTTGAATCAAATATTGGAAAATATGGTGATTAAAACAGCCAATATTATGGGTCCATCTATATTACACTTAGAGAATATTACTCTTAATTTTAATGTCAAGTGAACAGCATTCCCATATATAGCCAGAGCATGTTTAGAAATTCAGATGGAATATTCCACAAATTTTAAAATAATAGCTCAAGCTTTTCAAAGTGGAATAACTCCTATAGGTATTGTACAAAATTTACCAAGAGAGTATGTATATGCCATAAACCATACTGATCTGTGGGTAAATAAGTGGATTGGATGTTATCAGAACATATGTTATAGTTCTTCAATGATTCCTGTAGCAGGAAAAGAACAAATGTTGGTTCCAATCACTGTCTTGGGATTACCAGTTAGCAACACACAGTTACTATATTATCATCTGCAATATACAGATTTTGCATTTACTGATAATAATTTTGAGTTAGAACAATTAGATCTGTCTTCATGTTTACAATTTCAGTCTAAAGTGATTTGTCTACCTAATCAAGACAAAGGTATATTTCATTCTTGTTACCATAACCATACTCTATGTTCAGCAAGGATAGAAAAGGTTAAAACCACTTCTGAGTTAATCTCAATTGTAGATAAAAAGAAAGTTTGTTTTCAAGTTATGTCTGACTCAGAAAGGGTTCAATCCTTCTTCTCTTCTTGTACACATACAGAAAATTTAAGTCGAGGTTTGTTCTGTATAGAAGGAGATATTTCAGCAATAAGTGTTAATGGGATGAGAATGAATTTAACAAACATGCTTATGAAAAATATAAGTGCTCTTCCCATACAGTACAATATATCTCAAGTGGATGAATTCCCATGGAGAGATTGGGCAAATGTTATTCAAAAAGATGAAGGTTTACTGATAGCATTATCAGATGAACTTCAAAAAGCAGAAATATTATTTAAACATGAACAAGGGAGTTTAAAAGATATAGAACATGAATGGTCTGAATTTTCAGGTCATTCTTGGTGGTCAAAATTTAAACGTACTGTATCAATGTTGGGAAAAACTTCAATTGCATCTGCAGCAGGAAATATTTTATTACATCCTGTAATAATTATTTTTATTATTATCATATTATGTATTATATTTCAATTATGTTTGATGTGTAAAATGAACAGTTTCTATAAGCGAATTAGAAGTGAAATTAGGAAAGGAGATAATCTATTACAAGATATACTTCAGAGGAAACTACTTTCTGGTTATGCTGACTCAGTTACAAATAATGATACATTTGAGATTACTAAATCAAAACCTGAGAGTGTTTGTGATATAAATGATGTGTGCTTGTTATAAATTAATATGAATTTCATATTTCAGAGGGGAATGTAATATTAATTTTTTTAATATCCAAACTTTAATTCGGTCTTTAGTAGTTTTTGAAATATATGCTGGCAGAATATATATTCCCTATTAATTGGATGTGAATGTGAGGTTTTGTATTAAGTGGTCAGATGTGAATTATTTGTGTTTGAGTCTAGGTAATCAGTAGAGGTTTAAAGTCATGTTTTCTTTTAAAATACTCATGTAATGTATACCATACTGTGAATTCGTTTAATGAGTCTGAGAGTTTAAATTGTAGTCATAAATCATGGATTTTTGACAGTTGTATGTAATATAAGAACTTCAGAAACCTTTCTCATAGTCTGTATGTCAATCATGATAATGACTTGGTGGTTTGAATGGGAACATCTGTTTCTATTCAAACTAGGAGTGATTTTGGGAGTAGTTTAGAAGCCCGCGAATTTGAAACAAAGCTTAATGGGAGGATCTAATTTCTCATGCATTTTAAGTATGCAGCTTTTCAAACAACGAGGCAGAAGCCTCTCAGATAGACTACACTTCACTTCATTCACTCACACACACAGAGACATTCTTTTCACACACTCTTACTCAAAGCACATGCTTGGACAAAGAACAAAAGAATAGCACATGGTCATTTCTTAAACTAGGCCAAGAAAACTTCTATCTAAGCTATGCAAAGGAACTACATTATTTCCTAATATCCAAGGCAATTTATTCTTTATTTTTATTTCATTTTAAGCTACATATATCTGAATTTACTGTTTTTTATTGACTTTGTATTTTTGGTGTGTGATCAAATAAAGTCACACTGCTCATACTGACCTGGTTTTCATAAGGATTTCTTCCCACAACCATCTACAAGAACCTAGAATTCAACTCTTTGCACCATAGTAACACGTTGCAATGGAGTTTAGAGAGGTGCATTGCATAATGTCTGACTTTTTACACAATGCACCATAACCCACATCAGTGCAGAATTATGGTGTGAATAGGGCATGTACAAAACAATTGTTTTCTATGTACCCTTGCATTGAGCCTTTGTTGCTCTATCCATAACAATGCTGCTCAATGGACATGATGTGAACTACCCCTTAGAAATATCTTCCACAGCTCTACCCCTCTGCTCAATATACCCCAGAGCTCATACACTTACCAGCCACTTTATCAGGTACACCTGTTCAATTGTTTGGTGACACAAATTGCTAATCAGCTAATCACATGGCAGCAACTCAATGCATTTAGGCATGTAGACATGGTGAAGACGACTTGCTGAAGTTGAAACCGAGCATCAGAATGGGGAAGAAAGAGGATTTAAATGTTTGTGAACGTGGCATGGTTGTTGGTGCCAGAGGGGCTGGTCTGAGTATTTAAAAAATGGCTGATCTACTGAGAATTTCACGCACAAACCATCTCTAGGGTTTACAAAGAATGGTCCGAAAAAGAGAAAATATCCAGTGAGTGGCAGTTTTGTGGAGGAAAATGCCTTGTTGATGTCAGAGGAGAATGGGGGCTGTGACATTCAGATGGTAGGGTCAGAATTCAGTGTAAACACCATGAAAGCATGTATCCATCCTGCCTTGTATCAACGGTTCAGGCTGTGGTGGTGGTATAATGGTGTGGGGGATATTTTCTTGTCACTAGCAAGGTGTACCTAATAAAGTGGCCAATGAGCGTAATGCCCAATGAGTTGAGGACATTACAGGTATAAAAGAAATTGGCTGGGCGTTGCTCAAAGTGGCAGAGCTGTGGACAATGTTCATAAGTTTGCTTATAGTGCCCTCAGCTCCTTGATAACTAGAAGCTCTGGGATATACTGAGCAGAAGGGCATAGACATTGTCAGGGCAGTGCTTGGGGCTCTCGTAACAGCAACGCAGGCTTAGTTATTCTGGAATGTACATATTTTTACTTCTGTCAGCAGCTTCAGCACACCACCTACTCATTTATTTATTTATTACAGGTACTTGTATAGTGCTGACAACTTATGCATCACTTTACATACTGTACATATTGTACATTCACACCAGCCCTTGCCATCAAGGAGCTTATAGTCAAAGGTCCCTAAATCACATTCATTCATACACACACTAGGATTAATTTAGACAGGAGCCAATTAACCTACCAGCATGTCTTTGGAGTGTGGAGTACCTAGAGGAAACCTATGCAGGCACAGGAAGAACATGCAAACTCCAGGCAGTGCCATGGTTGGGATTTGAACCAACAACCCTAGTGCTGCCAGGCGGAAGTGCTAAGCGATTAGCCACACTTCTGTTTATTCTTCCAAATGTCCACCCTTACACTGTTTGTGTTTAGGCTGAGGGCTATTGGAACATGTAGTTTAGCAAGGCATAGGAATGAGACACATAGTAGTTGCAGATCTCTCCTCCTAGCGCCCCAGGGAATGGTACTTTATAAACAAAAACCATGATGTCACTGGAAAGAAGATAATGAAAAAAATAATGCCTATGGCTGTTGTAGAAAGGTAGAGGGAGTTAGGGGAAAAAATGTAGAGCCTGGAGGTCAGTTTAAATGTTATCTTATTTAAATGTTAGTTTATTATAAGCAGGGGGGACGGACTGACAGCTCATGGGGCCCCCGGGCAAAATAGGGGATCATGGGGCCCCTGTGTCCTTGCCCACACTCAAAGCTACACCCAAAAAAGCCTATAAAAGGTACCAGGGTATTTCATGGGGCCCCCTACTAATACCCCGGGCCCTCCTTCTAGACGGTGTGGTTACAGTGCCCAAGAGTGCTCAAATGGTCAGTCCGCCCCTGGTTATAAGTTTAATTTTGATATATAATATAATAAAAACTCATAACTGAAATATTTTTGGTTTTGTTTGAGCCAGGATAATCTAATCTGTGCTGTTGGCATTACTGGATCATTAAACTGTGTCACACAGGGGGGGTGAGGCCGGGGGGGGGGGGACCGTAATGAAGAGGGTGCTGACATGCCTTCTTTTTTTTTTTTTCCTTTTGCAGCTGTTTTGCTCTCAACTTTTAAACAATGTACACCTGCAAAAAGACAGCATGTTATGCAATGTAGCACATTTTGCTAAAACAGCTATTTTTTGAAACTGGTGACATTTATATTTCCCACAGAGTGAGTTTTATGTGAATGGACCTGTTTGCCTATAGAAAAAAAAAATCTTTGAAGTGACAACACCTCAACACATTTATATAAATGGTTTTAGAGGTAATGTTTGTATTTTAACCTATCGGAAAATTTTACTTCCTTTAGCCATTTTATTGTGATCTTCACGATCAGACTTTTTTTTTTTTTTTTTTTGCCCACATGTTAAAATCTGCATTTTTGGCTAGAAAATTACATACAACCTAGAATATTATATATTTTTGGAAAGCATAGTCTCTGTAGAATAAAAAGATGGCAGTTGCACAAGATTGGTGCAACTGTTTAATAAATCAATATTTTCAGTACAATACACTAAAATTAATTATAGTGCACACAAACACAATATAATCCGAAATTTTTATTTGTACATAATAATCAATGAGGTTATATAAAAAAAAATGTATAGATAATGTAATGTATAGTGATGAATATATTGCATTGGTTATGCTTTAGGGCAGGGCTTGAAATTTCCACTCACCTGCTCGCCAATGGCGAGTGGAAATTATGGTGTGGGCGAGTGTGTCCCCCAGGGTCATCATGCTGAGCAGTCTCGGAGCTGAGGCCGGATCTGTCATTGGCACTGGGAGCCATCAGACTGCTCAATAGCTGAGCGCAGTGAAAGCAAAGGAAGGAGTGTGTGCTGTGCTCTCTGCCTCCCCCTAGAGTGCAGTACCTGGCTCTGTGCGTGAACAACGAAGTACTGCAACTTTTTATGGGGGGAGGGGGTTGGTGTGTGTTTTGTGTGTCTCTGTGTATGCATGTACATGTGTCTGTGTGTATGTACATGTGTGTATGCATATGTACATGTGTCTTGTGTATGCATGTACATGTGTCTGTGTGTATGTACATGTGTGTATGCATGTACATGTGTCTGTGTGTATGTACATGTGTGTATGCATGTACATGTGTCTGTGTGTATGTACATGTGTGTATGCATGTACATGTCTGTGTGTATGTACATGTGTCTGCATGTATCTGCATGTATGTGTGTGTGTGTGTGTGTACATGTGTCTGTGCGTGTATATTTCTGTGTATGTACATGTATCATCTGTGTTTATGCGTGTCTGTACGTGCCTGTGTGTGTATACATGTGTCTGTATGTGTGTCTGTGCGTGTGTGTGTGTATATGTTTCTGTGTGTGTGTGTGTGTGTGTGTGTGTATGTGGCTGTGTGTATGTACATGTCTGTATGTGTATGTACAGGTGTCTCTGTTTGTGTGTGTTTGTTGGTGGCAAGTAACTCTTAAGGCCTGGCTAGTAGCTCAGGACTTGAAATTTTAAGCCCTGCTTTAGGGAATTGACCCTTTTTCCCTACAAGGAGGTTTATAGTCAGCCACTACCCTACACGGTATCATGTATTTTGCGTTTGTATGTGTACCAGTGTACACTAAGGAGGGGGGTGGTGGTCACATAGGAATAACAGAATTGCTAGAATTAGATGAAAGAGAAAGATATATCTTTATGACCCCTTCACATGACGCGCTATTGTCCTGTATTCAGTGCATTTACTTGCATTGCTGTAAGGCCACCCATTCAAAATCAAACAAGAAGACAGTTTTATATTTGTACAGTTTTTGTAATGTAGTGCAATGCAATGCCCATAACGTGTGTTGTAGTGTGCTGCAGTGTGGGTGTGCTGCAAGCTACTATACTTGCGATGAGATGCCTTTCTAATTGAATGGCAGGGTCTTTCACCACAGCATATTGCCAACAACACATAGGTGTGAAATTAGCCTTAAATTTAAAGACATGCATATTTTTTTTCTTCATTCATGTTACTTTGATGACTTTTCTAGGTATCATGTATACACATAATTTGATTATTTTCCTGCATTTTTGATATTTGGTTTAAAATGTTTGTTGGCATCACCTTGCTAAATGCATGTTCATTGACAGATGTATACCAACGTTAAATCAGTTGACTGTTCCAACTTGTACATGGAAGAACATTATACTACTATTAGACCACATCTAGTAATTAGCCTATTTGTAAACGCACACTCCTCGTAAATGAATGGGTCAACATGAAATCCAGAGCACAAACACTTGAGTCTCTGTCTCTCTCCTAAGATATATATTTTTTTCTTTTTAAGGTTTTTGTTTCAGCTCTGTTTCTTACTATTTAAATCACAGAAGGTTAATTAAAAGAGTGCCACACTCTGCATTTACTGAGGAATATTAACCTTGCTAGGCTCGTGTTAAATCACTGAAGTGATAGAATTGCATTTGCTTGATAACGTTTTGCTGTGAGAGCAAAGGCAGGGCCATTTATAGTTCACTGCCATTAATTGCTTAGCATTTAGATATTAGCACAGGAGTCTATTAATTAACTTGATAATAAAACTATTGGAATGTAGGCTGGTGAAATGATTTGGTTTTAGTGGACCCATGGAGCTTGCCAGCAAGAGAGAAATGGATTCGTCTTTTCCCTCTTGATCGTAAACTCCTAGAACACATATTTCTTGAAACGAGCTGATGGGAAGATTGTATTGGATCTATCTGACATCAATTCACTCTTTTTTTTTTTTTTTCTTACTAATTTGTTACTGTGTTGTGTGTATACTGTATATAAACATTCTGTTGGACATCATGTAATTGTTTGCCACATTTATACAAGGAACACTGTCCAGGTTCTGATACAAGCTCCTTGGGGGATTTGAGCTGGAACCATTGGATGGACTCAGCTTATTGCCATGCTCTAATGCATGGTCATGTGTGAGCTTGATGGGCTGTGGTGCCATTCGAATAGCACACCTGCACTGGGGCAAACTTAAACACATGGTAATGCAGTGCTGTGCTACGTAGTGTGCTGCATAGCTAAAAATAGTGAAGGAAACTTTTTAGTGTTTTTGGTGCATTAGGAAACACATTCAAATGCAACACAATGCATGTTGGCTTGCAGTGAACAGATGTATATGACACCTAAGTGTACATCCATGGCTAACCTCAGGTACTGCTTGATTGATTGAGCTCCTGAGTTTCATATTCCAGTTTTTTTTATTGCAGAAGTGATCAAATCGATCAAAGCAACCACCCACCAGCAGTTTGCGGCCACATTGCCTTGATCCTATTGATCATTGTGTCTTTTAAAAGCTTGTTTATATGTCAAGAACATTACCTGTATGTATGGTCAGCTTAAAGACTTCACAATGGCATTATTTACTCTTAGCTTGTAGATGGTGCTCTGCCTCTGTTTTACAAATAACATTCTTTCAGCATGGAATATAAATGTCTTCAGTGGGGGCAAAGAGAACAACCAAATCATCTTTTTTAAGTTGAGTTGGGAGGGGCTAGAAAAGTGTTGGTCAACTTTATATTAGAGAGGGCCTCAAGGGCGGCCCCATGCACTTAAAGAAGGCCACACAAAGAAGGCATGGTGTGATGCATGCCATTTATCCTAAATGGCACCTCAAAGGAACTTGAAAATATATAAATTGCAGCACACAACAATAGTTGTACATGTAGGCCAGTGAAATTATTTGGTTTTAGTGGACCTTTGGACTTTTTGGTACGTTGAAACACCTATGCAAATTAATGGGCTGATTTAGGTCAACTTTGCAACCTTATCTCAGAGGTCCACATTGTTTTTACATTAATCACAGTGATTGCTTAAAGGATAAGTTCACCTTTTTACCAAGAAATAATAAATGCACATATTTTTTTTTCAGGTAAAAAAATGTGCATTTATTATTTTTTGCTTCTGGAGCCTCTAAAGCATTGCACCAGTGATCAGCAGATCACTGGTGCCATGCAGGTCTCCCTCTGACCTGTCCGTGTATCTGCTTGCTTGTACATCCCAACATGAAGGCTCAATGAACTACCATGGCACTGTGGAGCGCCGTGGTAGTTCATTGAGAACTACAAGCTGACAGCCGCAAAGGCTGTCAAAACTGGTAGTTTTCCCATTCACAGAATACTGTGAATGAGCAATGCGGCTGGGAGGGCGGAGTCTCCCAGGGTCACATTTTAAAAAAATTGTGACAGCTAGGAGGGGAGGTGAAGATCCCCCGTCACAATGGGGATCGAAGGGGGGGGGGGCAGTCTGTTCATAGCATGTTACTTGTTACACTCTGAATATGGGTGTAACATATTATGAAAGGTGAACTTATCCTTTAACCACTTGTGATTATCAGCCATTTACCTCTGACAGGAGAAATCAAATAGATACCTTATCCATGCTAAACAGCATGGATGGAGGAATATTTGCTGCAGGTTATTGTATTCAGGCAGCAGGGATGCCCACAGCTGCTTAGAATACTTGTATAGTGACTGCATCTGGTGCCTTCAATTTTTCAATTAAAGTTTGTCAAGATGGGTGGTGCTGACATGGCCTCCCACAGCTCAAATTCAATAGGAGTTGGAAATTTGAGATGTGTATGGCCAGATAATGATCCCTGATTGATTTTGCTCTGATTGGTTTTGCTAGCAGAATAGGACTTCATCTGCTAAGAAATTATTTCATATAAATAGCCAAAAGTCTTAAATAAATATCTCCAGGACATTTATATACCACAGGAGGTTCATTGGTGGCTAAATAAAAGGTTGAATAGGCATATGGCAATATAAACAGTCTTTGAAGTTGGGTATCAGTTTTTTTGTAGCTACAAAAAGTGAATATTACTGAAATATCTAAACTGTTGTTCAATCTGTTATCGATATTACTTTTTATTATTGTTCTAAGTGACAGGAATGCATAGAACAATTCAATGTGCTTTGATGTTGCATTTCGATTCTGACCTCAGTGTGTAAAGGTCAATGTGCCCCAAAAATCTTGGTCATCCAAAGCTACTTATTGAATCAAGTACCATAAGCAATCATTTTTAAATTAGACTCTGTGTTTTGAACTCGCAGTTACTATTTCACCCAAATTCCCAAACTCCTTTATAAATTACAAGTTAAAATGTTGGACTTCAGTAACAGCTTTATTCTACAGTTTTTACTATATTTCAGCTTCTTTTTCTATTTCAATCTTTTTTTTTTATTTATATGTTAGAAATGCTTTGGGCTGTTTCTTCTCAAGTATTATTAAATGTTAATTTTGAATGCACATAGTTTTCTGTAGCCTCTGGTCATCCATTAAAGGAATTTTTCTCTTCAGAGCTTTAAGTCCAATGAAATTAACAGAATGCTGGCCAATACCAGACGTGTGCTAATCCCATAGTATTTTGCTTCCTGAGATAATTTGAGATGATGAATGCTTGTTGAAGTGATTTCAACACATGAATTTGGCTTTGGAGAAAATAAAAAGCTGTCAGGGTGGTTAATGTGAGGGAATAGAAGCAAGAAAAGTACACATTTTTCCATACTCTTGTAAACATGACTACTATCCCTTTGGCTTTCTGCTTGTCTGCTATATAACATGTTAAACTTTTCAGATCACATGAAGAACATATACATAGCTGCCAACTGTCCCTCATTTGGAACCAAATCCCTCGATCTCTTGTTTTCTTTTTTTCTAAGGAGACCCGTTTTTTGCTTTGATGTATAAACTAAACCTTTTATCCAACCTCTAAATGATTGAATTTTGTTATTTTGAAGGGACAGTATATAAGGGCTTGTTCACACCATGTCTGTTGAGCTTTGTTTTCTGTATACCAACACACATGTATGGACTTAATAGGGCCCTGTTTAGACCATACATGTGCCATGGTGTGCAGAAAAAAGCAACACAATGGGAATGGAGTGATCAATCCCTAGAAAAGTAGTGGTAGAAAAAAGTATACGTGGATTTAGACAATTTTTCATTAAATTTTTTGAGCATCTTCATGTTTTTCATAAATATGAGCATGGCAGGGGTGTGTTCTTTGCCTACCCCCTTTATTTTTAAATGTGTCCCTCACTCAGGGAGTCACAACATGCCACGATACATGGTAATGCACTGCTGTGCAGCATGATAAGCTGCCAAAAACGTTGCATGCATGATTTTTGCACCATTACATTGCATTATGCATTACATTCAAAT